CTCAGTGTCCTTCTCAGGACCTTTCCCACTCCCATTCCTCCTAGGCTCTGCCTTGGGGCCCAGCAGTGGGGGAGAGGCGACCAAGCCTGGAAAAGAAGACATAGGGCAGCTTGTTCCAGCCCAGAAGACAGAGGGCACCTCTGTCCACTCCTGGCCCCTTGCCCCACTGGGTGTCTATCTGTGAAGGGGTGGAGCCGATGGAGGGGGGTCAGTGGGGAAGGAGGACTGAAGACAGGTCTCCCCACACAGCTCCAGGAGCCACAGTCGCAGCCTTGTCCGTCTGTCTGGAACCTGCTCCCGCCTCAGGCCCAGCTGACAGTAAGTACCCTGCCCGCTCCAACCCTGGCCAGCTGGGGGGAAGGGACCTCATTCGGGCTCCAAGAGTTTGGGGACGGTGGCCTTGTGGTGCAGGGAGGGTCTGTGGGGAGTTCGGATGATAGCAGTTTGGGAATCGGGGGAGTCAGGGTTTGGAGGGTCGTGAGAGGAGGCAAATGAAGGGCAGAGGGATATCTAGGAAGTAGGTGAGTGGGTGAGGCAGCCAGTGGGGAGCCCAGCCACTGAGTTTCCAGGAGAGCGGGCCCTCCAACCAGGGAGCCCTCAAGTGCCCTCCCAAGGCTCCCTCCATCTCCCAGCTGCTGGGGAGGGGCCCCACCCTGGGCTCACTTCCAGTGAGATTAGAACGAGAGCAGATAGAAAAGCTGCTCCGCCACCCCTGCCCAGCCAGCTGCGACCCAGGGCAGCCTGAGAGAGGCAGGGCATAAACCGAGAGATATCGGGAAGAGGGGGCGCGAGGGAACTACACCCACTCCCAGTTCTCCCTGCGTGTCACCTCCCGTCTCCTCCGCTTTCTCTGCCCAGACCTCCAGACTCCTCTCTCCCCCAATTCTTTTCTCTTTGTTTTCCCAGGTGCCCCCTCCCTGTCAGGGTCCTCTCTGAACAGCCCCTACATGAAATGCCTGGCTGCTCTGCGGCCGGAGAGCTCTAGGTGCCCCTCCGGGCTGGGGCCTGTAACTGAGCCTCCAGCACTCCTCCCTCACACGCCCCTTATCCCCTCCATCAGCCAGGCTTGGGTTCCATCTCCCCCAGGTCTCTGTGACAACCGCTTCTCATGTCCAGAGTTCAGGTGACACTCACAAGGGCCCCATTGAAGAGCAGGGATGTCATTTGATCAGGGCCTATTGTCCAGCCCCTCAGGCCCGGGGCAGGATGGGGACATCGGGGCGGGGCCGGGGAACCCAGGGAGGAAAAGGCTCCTCGGGCTCCCTCCCGAGTTCGGGGGACACAACTCACCGGGGCGAGTCGCGCAGATGGGGTGCAGTGCGGGCGAGCAGCGGAGCTGAGGTTTATAAGCGCTC